GCGGGCGGGGCCCCCACCCCAGCGCTGGCCGGAGCCTGGCCCCGCTCCCCGGGCGGCTGCTGTGCCGGGCAGGGCCGGGCCGGTGCCCTAAGATGGCCGCATGGAGGAGTTCACCTTGCAGCCGGCCGGGCCTTCTCGCGGGGCAGGGGCGCAGCCGGGTTGCCCCTTTCCTCCCGCGGGCCCGGCCCAGCTCACCTCTGCGTCTTGGTTTTCTCCCCTCTTGTAGATCCTTTAGCTTGGCCTAGCTATGACTTACACTCCGGCATGCCCGCCTCCGCGACGTAAGTAGGGACAGAGCCGCAGCAAGAGTAACGTGCTGGGATAAGCGGGGTCAGCGCCAAGGGCTAGAGCAGCTCCGGACCAGCCTGAGGGGCCGGGTCACCTCGTGCGGGGCCCGGCACACACTCGGCCGCTGCGCTCTTCCGAGAGATGTCTGCGTAGCTACTAGACTACAAATACTCGATTATATATGTATATAGATAATGGGGTATTTTATGTATGTATATATACATAAATATATTTGTTTATAAAAGGTGGCATTATATATACATTTTTGTCTAAAGATATGAAATGCATATATAATCTAAAATTGGTTGGACTGGATGATCTCTTGAGGTCCCCACCTTTCTTCTATGAGTCTATATTTCTAATGCATATGTGCACACACACACTCAGGATAGATACAATTAAAGCTTTATACTTGTAAGTAACTTAAATATGAACATCTGTGTCTATGTATAACGCTTTAATTACGTGTGCTCTTCATGCATTTTTCTCTTCTGGATTTTTAATGTCCTGGAGTCACACCAAATATCTTTAAACGATTTCTTACAGCTTCTTTCATCTGAGGGTGTGAACCAGTTGAAACATTACCTTGAGGGAAAGCTGTGATGCAATGATACTAATAGCATTAATTGAGTTGCCTTCCCTGGTATTTAGCAAACTGACGTTTTCCCTTTTGATAGGAGATCTCTTGTTCAGGGCTTTTGAGAACAATAAATGTGATTGGATGATTGTAGGATTTTACAAGAAAAAAGGATAGGTGGAAGGAAGTCCAGATTAGGGTGGAGCTATTCGCATCAAATCCTTTTCTTGTTCTTAAAAATAATGAAATAAGATTGAGATTGCTTACTCTCTTCAGATTCCCAAGTGACATATTTCTAAGATGCAAATAATGTTTAAAGTTCATGCTACTCATACGAAATGTAATAGAAGAATTACATCTTAATAAAAAGATAAACAGCCTTTTTGATGGTATATGTACAGAGGCAGGCCACATGTATAACAAATGTCATTTGGGTGAATATACAAATTACTAACAGCAGTAATTAATTAGTACTGTTACACTCATAAAACTTCATAGGTTACAAACTCTTATAAACTGTTTGTCACTTTACTCCTTCATTAGCACAGCTGTTATTTAGCTTTGAATCTAGGCCCCACAGAAAAACAAAGGACCCCCATACGTTAATTGCCAGTGTTTTGATGCTACAGGCTGCTACAAAACTGAAATTGGAAGTAGTTCTCCCTAGAATGACTGCTTTTGAATTAAGGCACATTTCTTAGGAAGAAAAACGTGGCATAGAAATTGAAAGTGTTGGTGTGAACTCTTAGAATAATAACTGCTAACAAGAACTGCCATTGTAAATCTGGTTGCACAGTGAGCATTAGGGTAGGAATTGGCAACTGCCCTTCCACTTAGCATAGCTCAATCAGCACAACCATTTTTAAGTCTTTAATCGCAGCAGTTTTGAATTGGGTCTTAAAATGTTTTTCTGTAAAATGTCTGCTGCTTAACCTGTGGATGTTACTTTTAGTTTTTGTTTAAGTGCAGATAGCAACCAACCCTGCAGAGATGCATTTGTTTGTCTCTACAGCAAGGCATTCTTTCCGTAAAGTAGCTGAATGAGCTTGTTTTAGTTTATAAAATGTAACTAGTAATATCTGCCTTAAGCTAGGCAATAAAGGCTTTAAGTGGGCTTGTTAAAATAATATTGGAGTTTTACTTCCTTCAAATAATAAAGTGTACTGGCACCCATCTTACAAATGAATAACTGTCATAGAAAATGTTTAGCTTTTAAAGCATTTGTTCCCAAATGTGAGATTTGTATGTACACTAAGAAAATTAGTTCTTTACAATAGCAGCCTCTTTGAAGTCTGGCCTTTTTGGTGGGTGGTGGGGAAGAGATCGCTGGCAGAATTATTCCAAGATAATGCCCTGAGGGGCTGGGTCTAGAATATCTGTTCCAGTCAGTTCCCTAGTGCTTATAAGGTTTTTAAAAAGTAAGTACCTGAAACTTTGCTTCAATTCCCCAGTGATTTAAGGCCTTCACGGACTTGAAGTCCACAGATTGTATAAGAATGGCTTCCCCTGGTTTTCTACAGGAACTTCTTAGATGAGGTTCAAACCGTTCTATTCATCTCTGTAAGGCTTACTACTTGAAATGGTAGTATAGTACCCTCATCTACATAATAAAATGGAGACATTGAATCTAGATTCTTAAAATGTGTGTGCAAGAACATTTTCTTTTACTAATTTTTTTTTAAATGCAAAAACGGGCAGGTAATATATTCAAGCAGTGGTGCCCTTGTATTAGGGTGACTGTCTGTCCCTGTTTAGCTGGGAGAGTCCTGGATTTCAGGGGCTGGTCTCAGCCACCTGTTGAGAATTATAATGGGCATCCCAGGGACATGGGGTGCAGTCTGACCAGGAGTGGGCTAGTGCAGATCACCTGGCAAGTGGGCAGGCAGGCACCACTGCCTGCCCAGCACACTGCCCTGCTCCACTGACATGGAGGGCTGGCAGTGTCCAGGATTTCCATGTGGTCAGAGTAAGCATTTCCTCATCAAAGCTGCATTCTCAACTTAAAAAAAAGAATTTCTAAACTTTGCCTGCTGCTGAAGGATGGGAGTTGTTATTTATTTATTTTTGGGGGATGGGGTTGGGGGAGATGATGACAGTACTTGTCTAATTTGGTCTACTGTATTGTTTTCCTTGTTTCTGGAGAGCTACAATTGAATGATGGAACAATAGTATTGTCTTGTAAACTTCTGTATGGTGAAAGATAAGTACCTTGAAGACCAACATGAATATTTGGATGGGTGTGGGTGGCTAGAAAGAAAGTGTTGAATAGTAACTGCTCTAAAATATCAAGTAACCTGACAGCTCTTCTGCTACACTAAAGCTGTCAAAGGCTCAGCCTGAGAACAGATCTGCTAAATGCTCTTGGCTGGCTTCTCTGATCTGATCTTCCCCACATTAATGGCCAGCAAGCTTAAACTGTTTTACAGTACCCAGGAAAAGCCTTCATCTGACTCTTTGGTTTTAGACTACTGTATTTGGACTCCCATCAGCTTTATTTCTGTTACTTCTTCAGTAAGTCTTTCTTTAATGCTCCTAATGAGTCCCAGCAAAAGGTAGTGAGATAACAGGATCACAGAAAAGAACCCATCTTTTCTATAGCATTAAAAATGCACTAATCACCAGGCCACAAGACAAGTCCAGTCATTTTAAAATCAGATGTACATGAATATCAGGCAGTTTAAGTAGTTGCCGCTGGCTGTTAGGTATTCTTTTCTTTGGAGCAGCTTATGGACTTTAAAAAAAACTGGTGAATTTTTACAATTTTTTTTTAAATCTTCCGTTTGACTTGGCTTTTAAACATCCAAGTGGAGATGACAGCTAAATAAACAATCCTGCATGTATTTCTTAAGTGAAATCCCAGTTCTTACTTCCAATCTCTTAATTTGGAAAAGAAACATCTCACTCAGAGTTAAATCTGTTTTTTCTGTTAAGTCTGTGGGTATATTGTATGCACTATAATTAGTTACTATTTTAGTTTAATGTGTCTCTCAAGTCCATATATGACCTATTTTAAGACCAAAAAATCTTAAAGTGAGTTTGAGTATAGCTTTTTCTTTTGTGATCAATGGATACATACTAATTAGCCTATTATCTTTCCAGCTCCAATGGCGATCCCTCCATCGTATGCAGACCTTGGCAAATCTGCCAGAGATATCTTTAATAAAGGATATGGTAGGAATAATGCTTTTTATGATGACCAATATGAACTCACATTTTTCTGAAATAGAAGTGCTAAGTTTTATACTCTGCAAATCTTCTGACATGCTTTTATACACCTGCATACAGTGAAACAAACTTGGGGGTAGGGAGAGCATTTTAAATATGTGGGCACCAATACCAAAGCAGCATATACACACAGATAATTGCTTGTGCTTAGCCAAGGGATGGGAATAGAAAAAAATAGAAAGATGAGTACATATCAAGGAAGC